ACAACCCATGGGTTGAGAAACGCTGATAATACATACTTATGTGATGTGACTACAGTTCTAGTTGCCTCCGCACTCCAGTGTCCTCAGGCCACAAAATTTACAATTCAGACAGGATAACTGCCTTTTTTTTTTTTTTTTTTTTTTAACCCTGAAACCCTAACACATGTACAGCATAATCAGAAAACTAAATACATATGCACATATCCTATTTATGTTATCCCAAGTGGAAGTTTTACGCCCCAGCACACAGTTACCATGAGGTAAAACAGCCCCTTGGTCTTGGAATCTAGCACAAGATGGTTGGGGAGGAATGGGGACAGGCAGCTACTGAAGCAATGGTGCTGGCCCTGACCCAAGATCAGGGCCAGAGCTGCAGATGCTGCTTGCCCCCGTGTTGCCTCTGCTCCACACCCACCCACAACCCCATCTCCAGACTCAGGTCTTTCCCCACCCCACCACTTACCCTTGTTTAGCAGCTGGTAGGCTCCAGCCCTGCTCCAGTGGGACATGGAGCATGGCCCCAATCCAAACCAGCCTGAAGTGGCAACTCTGCCCTGGCCCTGCTGGGGGCGTGCTCCAGGTCCCATGCTGAAGTGAAGCCTACCAGCACCCAAGCAAGGGTAAGCAGGGGTGGGGGGGAGCAGGCAAGGAGCAGATAGCAAGGAAGGGCAGGCAGCAGGAGTTAAGCCACCTTCTCTTCCCTACTGCCTTCCCCTTTTTCCTCCGCCCTACAGCCTGTTCCCTTACTGCTTCCACCCCACTACAGTAGTTGGGGGGGGGGGAAGAGGGATGAATTTAAGATGACCCTCCAATCATTAGATTCAATACATAGAAAACTATAACTAATTTTTAAATTTTTCCATGTCTAGAATCTGATATTGGAGTCCTCTTAAATTCAGAGTAGTCTTGGATTCAGGTAAATACAGCAATACCAAGCAAGGAAATACCTGTGGTCAACAGTGACTGTACTGCTGCTATTACTTACAGCCACTTAAGTCACTACCTGTGATGACAGCGGTGCCTAGAAGTGCACTAGTTGTTAGCTCTCTTATTCTGCAGCTTGCTCTGATTCTGAATAACACATTATCAAGTTTTCAGGGGGATGCAGTCTCACATACTGCCCTAAGCTTCCATAAATTCACTCATGTTTCATAGTTTCAGGCTAATAACAAAGACAAGGGTAAAGGGGAACAATACTGGAAAAGTCAGTATTTGACAGTAACTGGAATTTTTGAAGACAATAACATAGATGAAAACATGGAACAATCTGTATCAAAACTAAGTAAATAAAGAAGACAAATTAAATTCAGTGATTAAAAACAATCAAAATAATCCACACTGGAAAGAATAAAGGTACTCAAAGATATTGTGGACTCCTAAATTAACTGAATTAGCCAAGTTACTCAGAAATCTGATAGCAGCATTCCTGTGGAAAGTTCAATGCAAACCCCTGCTTAATGTGTAGTGAGGGTCAAAAAAACCCAAACAAAACAAGCAAAACATTAAGAGGTTTAATGGATGGAGTAAAAGATACTAAAAAATATTATGCTGAAAAATAAATGCATGGTTTGTCACTACCTGAAATGCTATATTCACCATCCTGTCTGATAAAATATCTACAAGAAATAGAAGGGGGCACATGTGGTCACTGAAAATTAGTGACACACAGAGATCTCCACATGAGGGATCAAAAAAACAGCTGGAACTGGAGATAGAGAAGACATAAACAAGAAACATGACTAGTAGCAGGCAACCATCGATCTTTCTGGAGGTCACCAGGACCTTCGATGAATGTGCTTAGGTAGGAGTACGGAGGAGTGGAGGCTGCCAAAACCTTCCACTTCCTCTCCTACTTAAACCACTGAGCCAGAATCCAAAGGCCAAACAGTCCAGCCGTCTCAGTGGCTGTAATTATACGCGCATCCAGAAGTCAAACTTGGGTCTCCCATGTGGCAGAAGAGGATTCTACCACTGAACCACAATAGCGAGTTAAGAAACATAAAATAAAATATAAATTATTGAAAGGAATACAAAATATAAGACACTTAAAATTTAGGGTACAGGCAGTGTACACTTAAAGTGCGTCAAAAGAATGTAGTTTTTAAAGTGCTTTTAAGATGTATGATAATAGGAGCAGATAGACGTACAGTCCTCTTCCACTGAAACCTCTAATTTTTTTTTTTTTTTTTTTTTTAAGAGACTAGACGTAGGGGTAAGCAACACTTTTTGGCTAGAGTGCTGAAAAAACCACAATGTCAACCTTGGAAGGTGCAAGAGCCCGGAACAGCTGTTTGCAGCCTCCCAGCCGCCTGCTGGGAGCAGCCTGGGCTCTGTGGCTAGCAGCAGCTGCTTAGAGCCCGGACTGCCAGTGGTGTGCCGAGCAAAATGGCCTTGCATGCCACGCTCGGCGCACGTGCCGAGGGTTGCTGACCCCTGGTAGAGGAACAACACTGCTTAACTGCTACGTAACTGGAGAGCAAGAATCCCCACAGCCTTTTTAGGCATGATTAAAATTTGTTCCTCAGGTGTCCAAAACTTTTTTGGCCTTGGCTTCTGGGAATCTAGAGCAAGTCAGGAAGACTGACCAGATTCAGTTTGATTTCATTCCAGAAGCAGAAGAGAATGGATATCTTTCACCTTCTGGCCTTGCAGGCATTGAGTAAGCAGTGCTGTCAAGTGCTGGCACTATCAGCATCAAGGCAGAGTCCTCTAGCACCTGACCAAGCCTGCCACTGTGTTTGAGCATCTTCACCAGCTGCTTTGACAAAGCATGACATCTCAGAGTTCAGTGGGCTCTGACATGGGAAAGATACTTCCTAGAAGCATGTTCTGAGCTGGGTGCAATAATAAAATGCCAAAGGAAGAAATTTAAAAAATTCCAAAAGGACAACCTTCTGTGAGGTCTGCAGACTATCTACTGCTGCTTCTAAATCACAAAGACAAATGAAGACTAATAGTTGATTGCACTGAGGATACAAGATGAGTGGCATCAGAACTTCAGGATAAGCAGGATGACAAAAGGCAGTCAGGACTGATCACCTGAGCACTATTATAGTGCTGCTGAATGTGAATCAGTAGGTGGCAGCAATCATTTGAAGATTAGCAATCCACAATAGCCTCCTCTAACTCTCCAAACCATGAGAAGACATCATTAGATTTGTCCATATGTAGGTTCTGAAGTGCACCAGGGACAGTGATAGCATGTACATTCTCATCCTTTGCCCTGACCATCAAAGCTCAGAGCACACAAACAGCCAGGGATACCTGCAGCAGAGCACTGCGGACCACTAGGGAGAAATTCACGCACATGACTACTGGATGGTCAGAGAAACTCCACAATGCCTCCAGGAACTCAAAGACTTGTCCCCTTGATGATGTGGGGTTTTGGAATGGATGATGTGAAGTTTTTGAGGAGAGCCTTTGTGTCATAGCACTTGTAGGACCTCACCACTACTCAGAATGCCCTAAGTTACCACCTAAGATCTCCTCCTCCACTATTATAACCTGCTGTTCCATCTTCCTGCTGTGTTAAGATTGAATCCTGTGATAGCAATATTCCTTGGATGCCCAACTGTGCGTTTTATGTGCTGAATAAGATGGCACTGCATGTTTCCAGCAGTACTGTTCAGTTGTTGTGGGAAGGGAAACAGTGATTGTAAAGAGAAAGAAAACATTTGTTCTTCACCGTCTTTATGTGGTCCCTCTCATTTTCAGGAGGTGACATGTTTTTTCCTCCCTCAGGTACCCAATCAGAAAACAGTTGCCTCCATCTTTACTTACAAGCAAACTTTACTGGAGTTGGGGGCGGGGGTGGCATTTCATGGGCTACTGTAGGAAACTGCCACCCTACCCACCAGTCCCTCCCCAAATGTCTGTATAAGCAATGGGGGAGGAGCAGAAGGAGATGCACATCAGTTCCTTGAACTGCCAATCAGTAGCATACAGTGGGTCTCACGCACCCAGGGCCCAATGCTTGCATTTGCAAACCCCCCCCCACCCCACCCCCATCTGTGGCCAATCAAAACTGGAAGTGCTGCCGGGGACCAAGTTCCCCTTGGATGGCCCGGCCAGTGCCCCCTGCCAGGCCAGTGCCCAGGGGCATGCCCCCCACATCAATACGCCACTGCTGCAAAAAGGCCCTCATTGGAATGGGGCATCTAATGACAGCTGAGAATAGGTTGTCTGGATGTCACTTTATCAGGTCTTCAGTTTCAGAGAACAGTTATTCATCAAGTAAAGTGCGCTTGGTCATCTGGGAATTCTTTCTAGTTGACTCTAGTCTGGAAAATGAGACAACACAAAACAGACGGGCACTTGATCTTTACCTTTTTCTATGGTCGCTGGAGTTATCTGGTCCCAACTGCTGTGAGGGACTGAAACCACAGCAGGGACTCTTCCTTCTTCTCAAAATACTGTCATCAAGTAACTCTGGGTCGGCCTCTGATCAGTGACAAAGCAGTGTTCTATAGAATCATCCCAAGTGAGGAACCACAATAGTCCTTCAAAGAAAAATACACGTTGTCCACCAGGTGCATGTGACCTGGTTGGCAACCCATGTCCTCTCGTACTGGGACTTAAAAGACCTTGGCCTTCACCCAGTACTGATGCTGGTAATGGCTACGACTGATCTGCCACCTCCACTCTGATCCATTCATACCTGGCTACATTCCTATGGCTTTTGGCAAAGGGACTGTTGAGTGCTCCCTCTGCTCAGGTGGAGAGGTGATCAAGGACCTCCAGGAGTGTTTCATGGACTCCAATATCATGAAACAATGTTCATTTGGACACAAGAGGATACACTGCTCTCAAGTAGTCCTGTGCAGGAGGACAGAAAATAAGAATGATGAGAGATAAAGAAAATATGACCACTGAGTACAGATTGAAAGAACTATGTTCATTTAGAAAAGTAAAGATAAAAAGGGACTTAACAGATTTCTAATACGTTAAAAAACCATATGAAAAGGACAGAAATCCACGTCCACTGAGGGCAAGACAAGCTGTAATTGGCTTAATTTGCAGCAAAGATTTAGGACAGATATTAGAAAAAACTTTCTAATTATAAAAATAGTTAAGCACATGAATAAGCTAGATAGGGAGACTGCAAAACCCCCTTCCAGGAAGGTTTTTAAGAACAGGTCGTTAAGCAAACATCTTTCAGAGGTTGTCTAGCTATACTTATCCCTCAGATCAGATGACTAGCATAGGTGACCGTTTCAGGTGCATTCCT